CCCAATCATGAATATCAGCGCGAAATCCAATTAAAAGAGATCATCACTTCTCTCATCATGAATAATTGAGGAGACACTTTTAGTAAAGATGGCAACGCGAATGGGTTTTTTCGTACCTAGTGTATCCTATTTATTGTACAAACTGGGGCAGAGTTAAAATGCGATTTTTATAGAAATTAAACAACTGAAACAACAACAACTAATTTTCAGTATAAGACTTCGAATATATGTATGGAATGTCGATAAGTCGGTGGAACAACATAGAAATATATGTTTGCTCTCCGAAAATTGTTCAGTAGAAAAGTTTAAAAAGTGACTAAATTTTTTAACCAGTAGCTAATTATGACTATCCGAACGGAATTCAAATCCCCGAAAAGCATTTTTCTCAAGATCTTGTCTCCAGTCAAGAATTATTGACTGACTACCTAGTGTAACCTTTTTGATGTGCAAACAAAGATCTACAGGGTGAGATAAAAAAAACTGCAACAAAGTCAAACGCCATAATTTTTATTTTTTTTTAAATTTTTTTGAATGAATGCAAAAAATGTCGGCAAAAGCATCACATTTTAAAATAAGTTTAGATTTGTTCGAGTTGGTCACCTTTAACACGAATTATGGCCTTCAAACAGCCAATGAAACCTTCACACGCTGTCCAAATGTTGCTCTGCGGTATTTCGGCCTATTCCCGCGAAGCGCTTGCTTAAGGTGATCGACACTTTGGTATTTTTTAGTGCCAACCTTGCTTTCCAAAATACTCCAAACACAATAGTCCAACGGATTGGTATCCGGATATTTTGGTGGCTATTGTGCGCTGGAAATGAAGCGAGGAACGTCATTTTTAACCATTTTTGGGTGTCGCGTGCTGAGTCCTGTTGCAATGTCCAAGGTCGGCGGCCAAAATGTTTGCGTGCCCACACTTCACACTTCAGAATATTTTCGCGATAATATTCGGCATTTTTTCTGATGCCACGGTCGATTAATACGAGCGGAGAGCGTCTATCGGCTGTTATGGCGGCCCACACCATCACCATGACCGGCGCTTGAGTTCTGGTGACCAAGCGAAGTTGCACATTTTCAGCTGACCTCTTTGGCAAGTAAACACGATCATTTTGTTTGTTTACAAACAGCTGGACAACGAAAGTTTTCTCATCGGAACCAAACCAAATTTCGCAGTGCACCACTTTCGGTCAAGCGAAGCCACTCTTTAGCTCTTTTGAGTCTATTTTCTTTCTGTTACGGTGTAAGTTCTTGCACTTTTTGGAATTTCAATGGCTTCACCCCGAGCTTATTTTTCAATATTTGCCGAATGCAATATTGAGATATGTTCAGCTCACGAGTAATTTTTTCGGCCACTGCGACGTGGGTTTCAATCAAGTCGCTTCTTTACCTTTCGAACCATTTCTGCTGATGTTGCTGTTTTCTTCCGTCCACTTTCTGGACGTCGGACTACGCTACCAGTTTCACGGTAACGATCGATGGTATGAGGCATAAAAGATTTATTCACATTTAAATGCTGAAGTGCGTTCTAACGATATCCCCTGGCTTAGAAACGAAAGCAGTCAGAACTTGGTTGCAGTTTTTTCATCTCACCCTATATTTTTGTTCTTCTCTATAGAATTCTCCCTTTGGTCATCTATAGATAACCTTTTGAACATATTTCATATAAAGTGTGGGAAGTAGTCGATGTGTTCCAAATCTGTCACGTTGTAACATTTTTATCAGTCTTAGAACAGATACGAATTAGTCAAAATTGGCCAACTGCTTCGGAACCTCCCCCATAAAGAGTCAACCGTTTGAATAATCATAAGTCAATGCTGGGGGGTATACATCTGTCGGCAATCCGACTGATACTATTTTAATTATTGTATTCCTTTTTCACAAGCATATTGCTCCCTTTTTATATCCTCCACCTTGGAATGGAGGGTATATTAACTATGTCATTCCGTTTGCAACATCCCTAAATATTCGTCGTAGACCACATAATGTATATATATTCATAATCAGCATAAAATTCTAAGTCGATTTACCGATGTCCGTCCGTCCATCTGTCCGTCTGTTGAAATCACGTTACAGCTCACGTTATTTGACGTAGAGCGTCAAAATTTAGTATAGCAATTTGTTTTGTGTCTAGGATGGTTGGTATTGAAAATCAGATATATCGGTCCACGTTTTGGTATAATCTCCATATAAGGGTACCTCCCAATATTCGGTATTTTGATAATTTTTGCCACATTTTTTCACGGATTTGTCTGAAAATTGGTATTTGTTGGTCATAATGGGTTCTAGCTCCGGCCGCGAAACATTGCATGTATAGGTCCACGTTTTGGTATAGCCCTCATATAACGGTATCTCCCGATATTCGGTATTTTGATGATTTTTGCCACATTTTTTCGCGGAGTTTTCTAAAAATTGGTATTTGTGGGTCCTAATGGGTTATAGCCCCGTTGACGAAACATTGCATGTATAGGTCTACGTTTTGGTATAGCCCCCATATAATGGTACCTCACGATATTCGGTATTTTGATGATTTTTGCCACTTTTTCCCACGAATATGTCTAAAAATTGGTATTTGTAGGTCATAATGGGTTCTAATGTTTGCTTTACTCTGAGGTGGAAGGTATTTAAAGTTCGGCTCGGCCGAATTTAATGTTTTTATGCCTTACACCACAAGATGGTCAGGGTATTATGTCTTTGTGCATTTGTTTGTAACATGGAGAAGGAAGCGAGTTAGACCCATAGTTACTTTTGAGGATCTCCATAGAATCACTTTCTGAGTTGATTTATGCATGTCAGTCCGTCTGTCCGTACGTCCATCTGTCCCTGTATTCTTGTGAATAAAATGCAGGTCGCATTTATTATTCGATTGAGATGAAATTTTCCAAACAACATTTGTTTGGACCAAGGACAAACCCTATGGAAATTGGAGATAATCGGTAAAAAATTAGATATAGCTCCCATATATATCTTCGTCCGATTTACCTTTTATTGTGCACCAAACGTGTAATATCAGCCCGAATAGCATGGAATTTTGCACATACAACCAAATTAGTCCTGAAAATAAGTATGCCAAATTTGATCGAAATCGGTTCAAATATAGCTATAGCTCCCATATATATTGTTCATCCGATTTGTCATTTTTGTCCTCCGCAGCCGTAATATGCACTCTGTAAGAACAAATTTTTGGGGAAATATATCAAATGCAGCTCAGAAATACCATTGCCAAATTTTATCGAGATCGGTTCAGATTTGGATATAGCTCCCATATATAACTTCGTCCGATATACCTTTTATTGTACACCAAACGTCTAATATTTGTCCAAATGGGATGGAATATGGCACATGCGACCGAATTGAGTCTATAAGCTAGTACGCCAAATTTAGTGAAGATCGGTTCAGATATAGCTATAGCTCCCATATATATTGTTCATCCGATTTGTCATTTTTGTCCTCCGCAGCCGTAATATGCACTCTGTAACAACAATATTTGGAGAAATATATCTAATGCAGATCAGAAATACCTTTGCCAAATTTTATCGAAATCGGTTCAGATTTACATAGCTCCCCTGTATAACTTCGTCCGATTTACCTTTTATTGTACACCAAACGTCTAATATTTGTCCAAATGGGATGGAATTTGGCACATGCGACCGAATTGAGTCTAGAAGCCAGTATGCCAAATTTGGTGAAGATCGGTTCAGATATAGCTATAGCTCCCATATATATTGTTCATCCGATTTGTCATTTTTGTCCTCCGCAGCCGTAATATGCACTCCGTAACAACGATATTCAAGGAAATATATCAAATACAGCTCAGAAATATCTTCGCCAAATTTTATCGAGATCGGTTCAGATTTGGATATAGCTCCCATATATAACTTCGTCCGATTTACCTTTTATTGTACACAAAACGTCTAATATGGGATGGAATTTGGCACATGCGACCAAATTGAGTCTAGAAGCTAGTATGTAAAATTTGGCGAAGATCGGTTCAGATATAGCTATAGTTCCCATATATATTGTTCATCCGATTTGTCATTTTTGTCCTCCGCAGCCGTAATATGCACCCTGTAACAAAAATATTTGGGGAAATATATCAAATGAAGCTCAGAAATACCTTTGCCAAATTTTATCGAGATCGGTTCAGATTTGGATATAGCTCCCATATATAACTTCATCCGATTTATCTTTTATTGTAAACAAAACGTCTAATTTAGGATGGAATTTGGCACATGCGACCGAATTGAGTCTAGAAGCTAGTATGCCAAATTTGGTGAAGATCGGTTCAGATATAGCTATAGCTCCCATATATATTGTTCATCCGATTTGTCATTTTTGTCCTCCGGAGCCGTAATATGCACTCCGTAACAACGATATTCAGGGAAATATATCAAATACAGCTCAGAAATATCTTTGCCAAATTTTATCGAAATCGGTTCAGATTTGGATATAGCTCCCATATATATATTTATCCGATTTCAAATTAATTGTGCCCTAAATGGGCAATATGCTTCGGCATATTTAGCCTTTTGAACTTTAAATTATAATTATAATCATATGATTGAATTCTCCCATAAAAACTTTTAATTGTTATATGGAGCTCTACTAAATTAGCAAAGTGGTGTAGGGTATCATAATGTTGGCCCCGCCCGACTTTAGAATTTTCTTTACTGGTTTTATTTGTTGTACTTTGTGTCATCACCTTTTTCCCTAATCCAATACCGCTCGTGCCTTTTATATGCAGCTGCTGATTAGATTAGACAATTTATTTGGATTCCCAACAGCTTTTATTACCTTTATCTGCCTCGCTGTCTGTTCATCTCCTGGTCTCGTTAAATTTCTGTTGCAATTGACAATTTAGGAAATCTTCCACCACCAGAGATAAGGTAGCCCAGTGACTAAATTGATATCAGGAAATTGTCCCACCTTAACACGAATACTAGTTGTAAAAGTTGCCACCCTCCCCGAACGAAATTTAATTAGTATTTTATTAATTGTTTATATCAGTTTTGTTTTATTTTATTTATAATTTTGTTGATATATTCGTATAATAATATGAGTTAGTTAACATGTTGTACACATTTTGTTTAGCTTTTTGTTTATCTCTATTATTTTGTTTAATACAAAAACAATTAATAATATAAATTCTAATTGGATCATTTGCACTCGAATTTGTGCCGGCACATGTCTGTGTGTGTGTATGTGTTGTAATTTTGTGCTTAAGAAACAAACGTCTTGGGCGTAAGGTACTTGATTCGTTTTCTCGTTTTTTTTACGTCACTTAAACCTCACAATAAATGCTTAGTATTCAATTTGTTGTAATTGTTGTAGGCCTTAACAAATAAAAAATGGAAGATATGTATGTCTGTCGTTTATTGTCTTGAGCTTCATTGTTTGCTGGCCAAACGATCGGTGTAGGCAGCCCACAAACGATCCCGATAGAGTACAGCTGCCTTTTCCAAAGACTTGGCTGACATAATACCACGCCCCACTACGGCAATATCGGCACCCTTTTCCTTGACCACATATTCGGGAGTATTGTATTGCTGGCCCAATGAATCGCTGGCCTCATCAATTTTAACACCCGGTGTCAACTGAATCAGACCAGGGAATGCAAAACACTCGGATGACTGACACACCATACCCGCCACAAAGTCCACATCAGCACCCTCGGTGGCAATTTTGGCCGAGGCCTCTTTGTATTTGTCATCAATTAAATTGCCACTGGCCGACATTTCACCCAACAGAAAAACACCGCGACTCTTGGCCACAACGCCATCGTCGCCATTGAGGCCAGCTTTCAAACCCGAAATAATACTGCGTCCCGGCAATGTATGGGCAGTGACTAAATCAGCCCATGATGAGATTTTATACAGACCCTTGGCATATTGCAGCGAAACGGTATTACCGATGTCGGCAAACTTTCTATCTTCCATGAGAAGGAAATTATGTCTCTTGGCCAGGGCGAGTAAATCTTGTACGAATTGTTCGCTAAAATCTTCCAAGATATCAACGTGAGTTTTCAGCAGACAAATATAGGGGCCACATTTATCGGCGGCTTCCAATACTTCACTGCATTTGGTGGCATCGGCCGCCAAACAGAGATTTGTCTTTTTGCTGGCCATTAAATTGAACAGAGTTTTGGCCAATTCACATTTGGCCAAATTGGCACGATTTTCAAAGGGAATTTTCGAACGCACAAAATCGTTGACTGGAAAGAGAGGGGGAGGAGGAGAAAAAGAAATATTAGTAAAAATAAAATTTGGGATTTTGAGAAGTAGGGGGCCTTGTGGAGGATCCATCGAATATGATCCCCTGGAGACATTTTTCTAAAATAAAACGGAAGGATCCTAACCTGAAGTAGACTCCATCGCTTTATAGCTTTTGCATCTAAAGTAGATGACCCTAAGGGTATTTTACTTTAAAGAAGGCGATCTAGATGCCATCTACACTAAAATAGATGAACACAGGGGTTAACTACATTAAAGTAGAAGAGTATGGGAGTCATCTACCCATGAGTAGACGACCCTAGAGGCCATCTACACTTATGTGGACGACCCTAAGTGCCATCTACTTTACAGTAGAGGACCCTAGGGGCCATTTACTCTACAGTAGAGGTCATCAGGGGCCATCTACTCTACATTATAGGACCCTTGGGGCCATCTACTCTACAGTTGTGGACCTACTCTAAAGTAGAGTAGGGTCCACTAGGTGGCCCCTAGGGGCCATCTACTCGGAAGTAGAGGACCCTAGGGGCCATCTACTCTAAAGTAGAGGACCCTAGGGGCCATCTACTCGGAAGTAATGCACCCTAGGCGCCATCTACTCTGAAGTAGAGGAACCTAGGGGCCATCTACTCTATGGTAGTGGACCCTAGGTGCCATCTACTTTACAGTAGGCGTAACCAGGGGCCATCTACTTTACAGTATAGGACCCTAGGGGCCAAATTCTCTATAGTATAGGACCCTAGGGGCCACCTACTCTACAGTAGTGGACCCTAGGTGCCATCTACTCTACAGTAGGCGTCATCAGGGGCCATCTACTCTACATTATAGGACCCTAGGGGCCATTTACCCTTCAGTAGACGACCCTAAGGGCTACCTACTTTACAGTATAGGACCACATACTCTAAAGTAGAGGACCCTAAGGGCCAAATTCAACAGTATAGGACCCTAGGGGCCACCTACTCTACAGTAGAGGACCCTAGGGGCCATCTACTCTACAGTAGTGGACCCTAGGTGCCCTCTACTCTACAGTAGTGGACCCTAGGTGCCATCTACTCTACAGTAGAGGACCCTAGGGGCCATCTACTCTACAGTGGAGGGTCCTAGGGGCCATCTTCTCTACAGTAGAGGGCCCTAGGGGCCATCTACTCTACAATAGAGGACCCTAGGGGCCATCTACTCTGAAGTAGAGGATCCTAGGGGCCATCTACTCTGAAGTAGACGACCCTAGGGGCCATCTACTTTACAGTATAGGACCATAGGGGCCATCTACTCTACAGTAGAGGACCCTAGGGGCCATCTGCCTACAGTAGAGTACACAAGGGGCCATACACTCTAACGTAGAGGACCGTAGGGGCCAAATTCTCTAAAGTAGAGGTCCCTAAGGGCCATCTACTTTGCAGTAGTGGACCCTAGGGTCCATCTACATTACAGTAGAGCACACTTGGGGCCATCTGCTTACAGTAGAGGACCCTAGGGGCCATACACTCTAAAGTAGAGGACCGTAGGGGCCAAATTCTGTAAAGTAGAGGACCCTAAAGGACATATACTCTAAAGTAGAGGACCCTACTCTACAGTAGACGACCCTAGGGGCCATAAGGGTCATCTACTATACAAAAAGGGTCATGTCGTCTGAGTCCATAGTATCTGTGGGCCTGGGCCAGCCTACCGTATTATAGATATGTCCTTGAACCCATCTGCTTTGTTGTAAACGAACCTGATAATTCATGAATACCCAAAAATCAAAATTTAAAACGTCTCGTGCCTGCTATTAACCTAATTTATTAAGTATAGCGTTGTTGTTGCTGTCGTTCATGAAGAAGCCATTGACACGATAAGATTATTAAGCACGTTGTTCCAGACGGTATTCTATAAATAAAACATGTTAATGTTTTTTTTTCTTTTTTTTTTTTTGAAAATACAAACATTATTGATGCCGAAAGATGTTTGCTGCCAATCGTTGTTGACAAATTTGTTTGCTTTTATCTTTCATAATATGAATTATTCAGCTGACACAAGCAGACTGAACGACAGACAGACAATAGGCTGTTTTGTTTGCCTAGACAGATCGTTACATAAGAGAGAGCAAAGGCATTCGCGCTCAGGTGTTAGGAAATTTATGAGGAATCGTTAAGAATGTATTGCTTGATCAGTTATTTTAATCTTTTTTTTTTTGTTACTTAGGCTTCTTTGATTTGAAGTAGATAGATAACGCAGCCAGACTACTCATATCTTTCCGCTTTCCTTATCATTACTGAAACATTTTTTCTATTTCAAAATTTCTAATCTTCCCTGTTCTACCGGCTCTAAACACAGAAAACTTTTTAAACTCTTATTAAAATTCCGCACAAACTTCTCAATCATACTTACCAACTTCCTTTTTACTGCCCAAGAAATTGCCATCACTATCAATTTGCACAGCTGCAATGTACTTGGCAACCGATTCAACAGTTTCACGTTGGATTTTACCGGCTTCCAGCAGGGTGTTCAACAAGAACGACAATGTAAACAAAGAATGCATACGCACCGAATGGTTGGCAATATTCGCCGCACCACCCTGTTCACGGTCAACGACAACAACTGCATCGGTCACCACAATACCTTCGCTTTGCAAATCTTTAACTGTATCCAAAATACTTGAACCGGATGTGACGACATCCTCAACGATGAGACACGTGTCTCCAGCACTGTAGATACCCTCAATCAATTTCTTGGTGCCATAGGCTTTGGCCTCTTTGCGGCGCACCAGCATTGGAATGTTTTGCTGCACCGAGACAATGGATGCCAAGGGCAAGGCTGTGTACGGTACACCGCAAACATGTTTGGCATTCAAATTGTGTTCCTTGATGTAATCTTGTATAAGATTAGAGACAGTTTGCTGCAACAACACATGCGAAAAGAAAGACGTAAATTAATTTTTATCAAATAACAAAAACACACCTTCGCGGCCGCCACTGTGGGCAGAACAACTTACCATAACTTCCGGATAGCTGACAATAACACGAAGGTCAAAATACACCGGGGAGTTAATGCCCACTTTCATTTTGAAGTCGCCAAATTTGAAGGCATTTATTTCGAATAATTTCAGCGCCAGCGCCTTCATTGTTTCTGCATTTTTGGCCAACATTTTTCCCCGAGTGTAGTAGTAGCGTTTTACAAATTACAATGCGCCGCAGGTCACCTTTCCTTTTATGTGTATTATTTCTTCTAATTTTATTTTATTAATAGAAGACGACAGTGTGCAACCAACAACTAGCCTTTGGTATCCAACACACGTTTTGCTGCTTTTGATCCTATTGAATTAATAAAAACAAATTAATGGCGCGACGAGTTTTTTCGACGACCCGAGAAACAGATTGAACGATGTGAGAGCGAGAGAGGGAAGAAAAAGAGCGACGAAGAAAAAAAAAACATGTGCCATCAATAAATGTCAGACTGTGTTGGTAAGGGGAAACTGATACAGTACAGTTTGGTACCTAATCGATATAAAACGATTATCTTTATCGTGTGTGAATGAAATAAAAGATAGAAAGGATTTTACTGTACAGTACAAGAATTTTAATGGTAATCACAATAGTTTTTTTTTTTTTTTTTTTTTTTTTTTATCGGGGTTATAATTAAACCTTTTTCAAAGATATAAATGCAAACAATTACTGATATTGCAAATAATTTTGAAAATAGAAATTAATGATACAAAAAATGTGAATTTTTGTAAAGGAAAACGACAACAAAATAATTGAAAAATTTACAATGTTTTTATTTGGTAGATTTTAAGATATGTACATGGTAGATATAAGAAGGTAAGATCATGCAATCATTGTTTACAATTTTTTCAAAATCATCCATTTCACAACATCTCATTGTCAAAAGTAATATTTACTAATCCATTGTATACACAGAAATCAGAGATGGGAATTTGTTTTTATTCAGTGAAATTTGACAAGCTAATTTACAGAAAATGCAGAGATGGGCATGCTTAAAGACTTTACCTATTAATTTTGCGTAATACGGAAGTACAAAATATTTTACCATAGTGGGTAACACTTTAAATCTTTAAAGTGTAGATTTAGGTAACGCTGTTTAATTTTTCATAAAATATTTTTTTTGTAGACCCCAATATGTCTTCAGAACTACAAGAATGAAAACATAAGTTTTTTTTGAAAACCTACAAGAATCAAAAGTTGATCCGTATCAGAACTACGAGAATGTAAAAGTTTTTACTACGATAACCGATTATCCCTTTGTATGAAGGCGAGAAAAGAAATACTCTGTTCCAGAACTTCAAGAATCTAAAAGTTTTTACTACGATAACCGATTTCCTCCTTATGATGTCGAAAATATTTGCAAATTGGCAGATTCTTTCAGGTTCTGGAACAAAGCGAAAGACGACCGTTAGGGTGTTATTTCAATTCTTGCCTTCTTGCATTTGGTCCTTCGAGCCGGATATAAAATTGAATTAAACTGACAACGAACCAATAAGTCGTATAATTTGATTCTCCCGCTAACACTCATTATGATATCAAAAAATCTATATTCTTGCAGGTTCTGAAGCAGAGCATAAATAAATTAACAAAATTCAACCATAGACTAATGAAAATATAGACGAAGAAACGCTCTCATCGTTTGTCTTCGAAAATAATCAAATCACCTGATGTCGTTTATATCGTTTTAGGGGTATGAGTGAAAATATTAAAGTCTGTTTCTCCGATTTCATAAAGGAAAAATCGGTTATCGTAGTAAAAATTGTTATAGTCTTGAAGTTTTAGAAAAGACCACATGTTGACTATGCAAAACATGTCGTCTGTTCCAGAACTGCAAAAATGTAAAAGTTTTTACTACAATAACCGATTTTCCCTTTATGATATCGAAAAAATTGCAAAAATAGTAGATTCTTGCAGGTTCTGGAACAGAGCAATGCTGACAGCGAGCTGGATAAATAGACAAAAGTAACTTTGCGTTGTCTATATTTCCATTAGTCTATTATTTAAATTCATCCAAAATAGGTTCCCATCTTTGAATTCTAAAAAATAAAGAAAAAAAAATACGCTCTGACAATGAGATGTTATCAAAGGCATTATTTGACAAGGTTTACATTTTGTACGAGTTTTGATTTTTAGCCTTCTTTAGGTGAAATCATTCACATTTTATGTTATTCCTTTTTATTGTAAAACGTCGAAGTCATACGTCGACTACAGCTAGGCCTTTTAGGCAAGTAAAATTATCGATTAACCTATTTCTCATTTCAAAATCGATAGTCGACCTACACATCCCTACTTCTTCACTAGTCAAACAATCAACAATAATCGCGCGTGGATTCGTTCGTTTTTATTGTTAAAACAATAAGAAATTCTTTATTATTTTCCATTAAAAAGTGATATTTAAAGCAATATTTTCGCTATATATAAATGTTTGTGTTTATATATAGCGGAAACAAATCATATATTTGTTTTTATAATAACGATGAAAGACAAATGAAAACAAAATACAAAACATAGTACAAATACAAAACGAGAAAAAAATGCCTGCTTGGTTGTGAGCTGTGCGTGTGTGTATGTGCGTGCGTTTCTTCTTCTTTATGACTTTTATTCTTCTTTTTTTATTGTTATGTTGAAAAGACGAAGTGCAATAAAAGAAAAAACTATATAAATGAACTCTCAATGAAAAAAGGTAATTGTCTTTACATAAAAAATTTTACTATTTTCTTTATTTAATCAATGTTTTATTGTTGTTATATTAAATAGAAATTTCGTTGAAGTTTTTGTGGCATGTTTTGTGTTTGATGATGAAGATGAGGGCTCTTTGACGTGTTCAGCATAGAATAGTAGTTGGTCGGTCGGTTGATTGTTTTGGTGGTGCATCATCTTTGAGTGCCCAGCATTTATTCTTGGAATAATTAAATGCTTTGTATTTTATTTGTTTTACTGCTTGACAAGAAGAATGTTTGGCAGCCAATAGGAACAAACATAAAACACGAAGATAGTAGTTATTTTTAAAGTGAAATGCTTTCACCAATTTTGGTTAACAAAATCACGTGCATTTCTTTTGTTGACAAAAAAACAACCGCATCTTATTGAAATGCGTATAGGGGTCTAGGCTACAGTAGACGAGGGAAGATTTGAAAATATTAGAAATCTATCTGCCAGACAGGTAATGTAGAATTTTGTAATTAAAAGTAAATATTTTTTAATTTCTTTCTTTGTTTTAGAAGAATAACATACCTATGTAACTTTTAAAAATTAACCAAGATTTTGTTTCAATCTGACTTTTAAGTGGTCTGGAAAGTAAAGTTTTCAAAGATCAGTTGAAAACAAAGCCTTTACAAATTGCTGTGAAAATTAACTGAAGAACTTTTAGACTTGAAAAGGATACAAAAACTTCAGCTAGATAAAGGGTATAAAACTCCTTTATATATTTCCCAATGATATAATATTTTATATTTTCATCCTAGATCTAAATTGGTGTAACTAGCTTTTTTGTGTCAAAAATACCAATTTCCAGAAAACTACTATAGTTTTCATACAAGTGGACAAAAGGTTTCGGTCTGTTCTAGAACTACAAGAATGTGAACGTTTTTTAAAGATGTTAAACGATTTTCTGTTCCAGAACTGCAAGAATGTGAACGTTTTTTGAAGACGATAACTGATTTTCCCTTTATGCTATGTGCAAAAATTGATAACCGGTAGATTCTTGCAGTTTCTGGAACAGAGCATTTATATAGTTCCAATTCAATATATATAGAAAAAGCCTGCAGGAGAATTTGAAATCCAGAATAACAGCGAGTTCTAGTACCAAGGCTAAACATTTTCCAAAAAGAAATTGTTGCTATAGATATTTATTGTCATAAGGGACATGCTTATCACACATTGAGGACTCATCATAACCACTTTTTATGGGTCCATTGTAAGACATCTTTAAATGTCAACTACCCTTTAAAGAAGTGTAGTTTTTAAAATATCACAAATCGTAAAGTACCTCAACACGATATCCTTACCTAATCGGTTGGAAAATGAGGCTAGGTGTTTTAAAAGATCAATAAATGGGCCAATGCAACTATATGACAGATATTTATTAAAAATGATCGATCTTCTATTTTTTACTAAATATGAATTGCAGATGTATTTAGAAAAGCATGGCTCGTTATAAGCTTAATTAGCCTAACTTAATTTGACAACACAGGTACATGAAAGTCATTCTAAAAACAGAATCTGCTCTTGTTATGAGACCACAATACCAAATATAGCGAATAAGAGGTCTTCTATGGCAATAACTATAAATTGATATTTTTATATCCTTCACCCTATTTTAGGGGGGCATATTAAGTTTGTCATTCCGTTTGTAACACCTCGAATTATACATTTTAGACCCCACAAAGTATATATATTCTTTATCAGCATAAAATCGATCTAGCAATGTCCAACCGTCTGTGGAAACCACTCTAGCTTCCGAATGAAACGAAGTAGGATGATAAAATTTTACTCAAATGTATATTATGTTTGCAGGACTGCCAAATTCGTTCCAAATGGTGGAGGGTATTCAAAGTTCGGCCCGGCCGAACTTGCAGCTTTTTTTACTTGTTTAGAACAACACAATGTGAGATCCTCTTTTAAGGAAACAACGACCTCTAAAGCTCTATGGAAGACGAGCTTTGGAGGGATACTGACAGCAAGAGGTCTTGTTTTATAGAAGTCGAACACGAGATATTTTATGAAACACGATTTAAAGATGGTTTCTTGAATTAGAGACTACATAAACTCTTGAGTTCTTCTATAGAAAAATACTTAAGAGAATGTCTTGGATGACTAGATGAGGTCTTCTTCTGTGGATAGTATTTTTGATTGGCAAACCGATCTCAAATGATTTCTTCTGGGGAGCTAATCTGAGGTTTTGTTTTATGGAAATAAATCTCAAGATCTTCTATGAAAGACGATTTCAAGAAGTCTTCTTGAATTAAAGACTACATAGCCTCTTGCGGTCTTCGATAGAAAATACTTCAAGAGGATGTCTTACAAGTCAAGCTATGCGTTTTGGGCAAAAAAGTTGGATATCATCTCACGGTAGAGTCCACCATTTACAGTTACGTTACGTTTCGTAGCATCTTTGAATAAGTACTTTCCAATGATGCCTCCAGCCCATAAACCACACCAAACTGTGACTTTATCTGGATGCATTCGTAGCTTCTGCAATGCTTCTGTTTTCGTAGCATTTGTAGCTTCTGCAATGCTTCTGTTTTGACAGTGAAAAAGAACACAATAAGTGTGTGATCTGTTTAAACCTGTGTTTCCAAAGAGATAATTGATAAAAATGAGCCTTTGATAAAGCGAAATCTATCATGATTTCAACCGAAGGCGGACGGCTCTTCGTACATTTCTAAATCGACATAGGATGCATCGAGGTGAGCACATTTATTTGGTATCACAAGACGCCTTTCATTGAGAATGCCTACAGGCCTCTTTAGAATATTAGTTCATTTATTTATTTATTTTCAATTTGTACAGAAATCTAGCCGACAGGACCACGGACGGTTCCAAAAACTTCTACACATGACTACTCTAGCCTTAGTTTTAGTCTTATTTCTAAGAAAACAAATTATTTCATTATTGCCAATCTAAATGTCTACCTACTTATTTTCAAATACCCACCTATCATTATCATCCATTCGAGTTTATTACCCCCATTTGTTTTTGTGTTTTTCCTTTATTATCCAATTGTCACATTTTTCCTTATTCCTCGTATTTTTTTCTAACAAACAACTTTGCATTGCTGTTGATAAATTGTTTTAAGCCGCCAATTTCCTTTTCCATCACGAGGATAGACATCAACGCTCACAAACACACACACACCCTCTCGTGCACAAACAAAATGAAACAAAACAATGACTTGGCCGCTGCATTTGTAACCTTTTTTCTCTCCCACACAAAACAACACACATCATCCTGTTTTCTTCTTCTTCGGCAAGGTGGTAAAATCAATGAGAAAACAAAGAGGGAGAGAGAGTAAGTGTGTGTGTGAGGAGAGAGTAGTGTGTGATGTTCTCATTCAATTTCACTTTTTGTACTCATGCCCTTTCACATCATAGTTCAGAGAACTCTTACTCACATTACCGTCATTCCTCTCTCTCTCTCCCAATTGTCCCTGTATTAAAATATGCCAATGTTTAACGGCACTACTGCAAATAGGCAATGGCAACAAAACCAACAACAATAATAATGATGTAAATAAAAAATAATAAAAATCAAGTTCTAAGCTCATTGTATGTAATTTGTTGTTGTAGTTTTTTTTATTATATACTTAACATTTCATGGATATATGTGTGTACATACATATTTAAACAAGTAAATAGAAAAGCTATATAAAAAAAAACTAAATCGTATGTGTAATTTAATACACACACACTTGCAGCGGCGTTGTATGTGTAATGGGAGCCCATCATACAAACAATCAACCTATAAGCCAGCCATCCTGCCAACGGCGTAGCACATGCCAAAGCTCTGACATGCATTCATACTACTACTAGTAAAAAAGCAAGAAGAAGAAGAAAAGTGCGGGGGTCTTGGGGACTTGATACTACGTTATACTGGAGTTAATATGCCATAGAGGCGGGCGGACTCCTCTATGACAAAACAACATGAACACAATTCAAAACAACAGCAACAACACTCAACACCTATTACACCGTGGGGGATGTTTTAAAACAAAACAACAACAACAAAAACACAGCGCAAAACAAATAGGCAACAAACATAAAAAAGGTTAAAACAAACATGAAACATTTTCATTTTCCTTTTCAAGATTTGAAAAACATAGAATATTCATCATCATTAACATTGTCATCATAACCATATAGCAGGCAGTTGTATTAGTAGTGGAGTACTTATACCACTACCAGCAAACGCCATGCGAATGAACCCCCATAATAATAATAGTAGTATTTTCTTGCCTACTAACACTCTGTTGCAATTTTATTGTTGTCGTTGTTGTTGTATTTGTAGTGGCGGCTTATAATGTGCATAGAATGATGTGCTTGTGTGTGAGTGCGTGCGTGTTTGCTTGTTTAATTGTTGGAGCTTGCGGCTCTCCCCCCATCGAAAACAAAACCAAGCACAAAAAACTCACCCCTATGTGTCAAAGTCATATTGGCTTACCCCCAATCGTTATTCTCTCTCTCTCTCTCTTCCACAAAACAATGTTGTCAATGTGGCGACCATATTAAAATCATCATTTTGTGATGATGGTATAGGGTTCTATAGTAAAGAAAAAGTTATTGATAAATCTAAAGTAAATAAATTAAAATAATAAATAAATCAAGAAATAAATAGATAAATAAATGAAAAAAAAAAAAAATAAATAAAAATTATTTATAAATAAATAAAAAATAATAAGTAAATATAAATGGAAAAAAGATAGATTGACAATCAAAAAAAGTTGTTTTTATAAAAACAACAATAATAGGATTAAGCCCAGCTATTTTGAAACCACAAAAGTACTACGGTATACCGAACAAACATGCCAACACTGTTCTAAAAAAAATCTTTAATTAATATAATGTCTTCATAGATAGAAGACACCTTTAAGAGGTCTTTTGTAGAAAAACAACTTCAGGAGGGCGTCTGTAGAAAAGAACTTCAAAACAATTGCATCCTTGGAAAGGCCTCGAAGTTGGTGTAAAG